CTTTGTATTGTAAAATACAAGAGATTCTGCACGCATGCTCAGCAAATGCTATTCTTTGCAGTAGATGGAGCCGGGTCGCAACGGGGATTGGGCACATTGTAATGTAAAATACAAGAGTTTCTTCACGCGTGTGCAGCAAATGCTATTTTTTGCAATAGATGGAGCCGGTTTGCATAACGAGCGGTTTTGTAGTAGTCAGGGTTTAATAATTATAGGGTTGGAAATTTAGGGATAATACTAGGGATTAGGGTTACGGTTAGGGGTTAGGGTGGGGTTTAGGGGGTAGGGTTAGGGCATAGGGTTAAGGTTAGGGATTAGGGTCAGGGTGAGGGGTGGGGCCAGGGGTTAGCAGTCAGGTTAGGGTTAAGGTGTAGGGTAGGGGTTAGGGTTAAGGTTAGGGGTTAGGGTAGGGCTTAGGGCAGGGCTGGGGGTTAGGGTTAGGGTCTACCAGGCTTGGCCACGATTATACCTTGACCGCGAACCCACCTGCGGTGGCCGTCACTCCCACCCGCAAGCTACCCCACCATAAAGATCATCTCTCCCCCCGTTATAACCACATCGAATACAACGTCGACGACGACGACGACGACGGCGACGAACATGTGCACAGAACAGCATTGACAAAAAGAACATAGAATGACAAATGATGAGGCGGAGATGAATGGGGAGGTAGACAGACAGACAATCGAGACACACCCGAGAGAACTGTTAAACTTCAACACCCGTGTGCCCCATACAAGCGAAACGGGTCGGGCAGACGGACCGTCGGATCGGGTCGGGTGTTGGCACGCGAGTACCCTAACGGACGGGACGGGTCGGGCAGGCAAAACGGACGGGACGGGTCGGGTCGGGCGAAAAAGATTCTGCACGCATGCGCAGCAAATATTATTTTTTGGAATAGATGGATCGGCTCTCAACGGGGGCTGGGTACTTTGTATTGTAAAATACTAGAGATTCTGCACGCATGCGCAGCAAGTGCTATTTGTTGCAGTAGATGGAACCGGTTTACATAACGGGGTCGCAACGGGGACTGGGCACTTTGCATTGTAAAATACAAGAGATTCTGCACGCGTGCTCAGCAAATGCTTTTTTTGCAGTAGACGGAGCCGGGTCGCAACGGGGACTGGGCACTTTGTAGTGTAAAATACAAGAGTTTCTGCACGCATGTGCAGCACATGTTTTTGTTGCAATAGATGGACCCGGTTTGCATAACGAGCGGTTTTGTAGTAGTCCGGGCTTAATAAGTATAGGGTTGGAAATTTAGGGGGTTGGAGTAGGGTTTGGGGTAAGCGTTAGGGCTTAGGGCCAGGGTTAGGGGTTAGAGTAGGGCTTAGGCTTAGTAATCTTAGGATTAAGAATCAGGGATTCGGGTTACGGTTAGGGGCTAGGGTTTGGCGTAAGGGGTAGGGTTCGGGTTTAGGGTAGGGGTTAGGGTTAGGGTGAGGGTATTCGGGGTTAGGGGTTAGGGTTGAGGTAGGGGTTAGGGTTAGGGTAGGGGTAGGGTTAGGGGGTAGGGGTTAGGGGTAGGGGGGGCCGCCGCCCGCCGCCGCCGCAGCCGCCGCCGCCGCCCCCGCCGCCGCCGCCGCCGCCCCCGCCGCCGCCGCCGCCGCCGCCGCCGCCGCCGCAGCCGCCGCAGCCGCCGCCGCCGCCAACTGTACTCTATATTGTTTTTGTTGATAGGGATGGTGGGGGGAGGCCGCATCAGGTTGGCTGCGCATGCTCCGAATTTGGAGGCAGAGTGTGCTTTGTATGGTTTTTGTACAAGGGATGGTGGGGGGGTGCACTCATGGTTCCTGGTTGGCTACCAGTCGCCTGGGGGAGGGTGTGTTTATTAATAGGGAACAGCGATGTAGGGTTAGGGTAGGGGTTAAGGGTAGGGGTTAGGGCTAGGGCAGGAGATAGGGTTGGGATTAGGGGTCCGGGTTAGGGTTTAGGCTTAAGGTTAGGAATTAGGGTTAGGGTTAGGGTGAAAGGGGTGAGGGTTTAAGGTTGAGGCTAGGTTAGGGTTAGGGTCGGGGTAGGGGTTAAGGTTAGGATGTGGGGTTAGGTCCGGGTTGGGGTTTTGGGTAGGGGTTAGGGTGGGGGGTAGGGTAGGGCTGATGGGGTTAGGATTAAGGTTTAGGGTTAACATTAGGGGTTCGGGTTACGGTTAGGGGTTAGGGTAGAGTTTAGGGGTTAGGGTTAGGCCATAGGGTTGTGGTTAAGGATTAGGGTCAGGGTCAGAGGTGGGGGTAGGGGTTAGGGGTTAGGTTAGGGTTAGGGTCAGGGTTTAGGGTAGGGATTAGGGTTAAGATTAGGGAGTAGTGTAGGGGTTAGGGCAGGGCTGGGGATTAGGGCTAGGGTGTAGGGGGTTGGATCAGGGCTTAGGGTAAGGGTTAGGGCTTAGGGCCAGGGTTAGGGGTTAGATTAGGGTTAGGGTTAGGTCTTAGGGTTAGGGTCAGGGATTAGGGTTAGGTTTAGGGGCCAGGTTTAGGGGTAAGGGGTAGGCTTCGGGGTAGGGGTAGGGGGTAGGGGTAGGGTTAGGGTTAGGGTAGGGGACTGGGTTAGGATCAGGGGTTAGGGTAGGGGTTAGGGTTCAGGTCGGGGTTAAGGTTTAGGGTTAGGGCTTAGGGTAGGGGTTAGGTGGGGATTAGGGTTTGAATCAGGGGTTTGGGTATGGGTTCGGGCAGAGGTTAATGTTAGGCGTAGGTATGGGGTTAGGGTTAGGAGTGGGGGGTTGGGTTAGGGGTTAGGGGTTAGGGCAGGGATTAGGTTGAAGGTTAGGCGTGATAGGGATCGGGTTGGGGAGCCAGGGGGCGGCGTGGTGCAAGGGGGGGGGGTCCGCCAGCGACGGACGGGAAAGGGGGGGGGGGGAGGGGTCCCGGACCCCCTCGCCCCCTTTGGGTGATCCAGCGGCGCGCCCTCCATTTTGGGGAGGGCGCCTCCCCCGATCCATGGATTCGGCGACGGCGCGCCAAACCCATGGATCACCAATCCCTGCCTGCGCGCCCCCGATCCGAGGGGTGCTCAGCGATATCACCGTCTTGAAAAAAGGGTTGCCTCGCCAGTGCTCCGGCTGCACGAGCTGCGCCTCCCGCCAGGAGGCCCCGAGGAGAGGTCTCGAGCGAGAGCCCCACGTTGGAGAGGAGAAACGCCCTCCGTCCGTGCATCCGCAGCCGCCCTTCATCTGGTCAGGCGTACGGTGTCCAAACCGCCTGGGGAGACCTTCAGGTGCCGTCAGCTCTGTCCTCTTTTCAGGAGCGAAAGAAGGACGTGCATGTACATGAATCCACGCTGGTTTCGAGAGCACGCATTGCACAAATGTTCGTATAACGCGGCTGGTCTCGCGAATCGAGGGGCCGTGTTCATGTACATAGCTGGGCGCGTACGTCCTTTGTGGGCTCCCTATCTTCTGTCGCTGTCAGCTTTGTTGCTGTCGACGTTGTCGCTTCTGTCGGCTCGCGCGTTTTGCGTGTTGCTGTCTCGATCGGGTGGTGTCCCCTTTTTGCTGGCCTGGGCCTGGGCTGGTGCTGGGCGGAGG